GGCAAAGGTAAAAATTTACCAAAATTAGGCCACCTTAAATATCTTCCACCAAAACGCGAAACCATTCAGAACAAATCTGCAAAACTAAAGAATGATCATTGGAAGGTTGTTACTTTCCTCAAAAGAAGCAAGCAATGTACTCAATGCCGTCAGTTTTTTGGTGGTGGGGACATATTACCATATCACCGTTCTCGCGGTATTGCTGATTTTTATCTACTTTCAGATATCTTAGCTCATGTTGTTGAGCATCCTTCTCCCGGAACCATTGTAATTGCTTCAGGAGACAAGGATTTTGGTGAGATAGTTGAAAGGGGAGTTAGGTTACATAGTAATCATAGCTGCCGATCTCGAGGATACTTACTCTAAAAACCGCCTCCAGATTGGGCAGCAGCATGTCAACGCGGCCTATCTCGCAAAAGGGAACGTTGCACTGGAATGGGACTCCTTGAATGAGGGAAAATTGGTCAGGTTGTTGCCTTGATGGTAGATGGAGGACGAGGAAAAGGGGTTGAAGAGAAAGACAATTTAGGCATTTGTCTAATATTATGATATGTAGTTTCTTAAGAATTTTAACTTTAGATCATTTATTGAGAAACCTATGTAATGGACCATTGTTATTTTTATATCTATGACATGTAGTTTCTTCTAAATGTACCTTTGTTATCCTCATCACAGCTCACTTCTACAACAACTGATGATATAATTTGTGCTCACAGATAGCATGTAACACTGAATATTCAATCCAACCAAAGAAAGCATTACTTTAAAATAATTCAATAGTTACAACTCAATTATTAAGAAAAGCCGACTTTCAATTCGGTCTATACGTGATGTAGAACTTTCTAAGCGAAGCAGCGGTTTTCTCGTCCAAGACATCAACTTCAAAAGGGATGTTCTTAACACGGAGAATCTCGTGAAGCAAATGAGCATTACCAATGTGGTCTCTAACCTCGAATAAGGATATCGCATTTGCCTCCACCACTTCACTGAATATGCTCGCAGATATAACTTCTGCATCCATCTGCCATTACCATATATATATGGCTCAAAATGTCAACTCCAGAGCTTGTAAAATTGGATCGTCCTGGTTCTCGTCATTTGTTGAATCAGCAGCAAACATTTTTTTGCACCAGCCACTCGTTCACCATCGTAGACCCTTTCCAACATGTGTGATTTTCCAGTTCCTCAGCATTCGTTTCCTCACCAATGATGGAACAACGCAGCATCTCTGCAGTTACCGTTCCAGAAACCAATCCAAAGACACCCTCCTTCACAAAACCCACATCGGAAGACCTGAAACTACCTGCCTTTTCGCAGCCTTGTTGGTGAGATCTCTGAGCCCACAGAACATTGCTGCAGAAAACAACAAGCTATGACTTTGCTCTAGTGACTGCTCCAATAGTGTGTTAAGAATCTGCTCATTCATTGAGTTAACCTCCATATCTGGTGCAAGTTGTGGAGRAACATTAAGAMTCTGAAGTGCAAAATGTCAGTGGTAACATCATCAGCTCCGGAATCCAGCTCCATTCCCCACACTAAAATGCCCTTTCTTGGACTGCGGATTGACCAGACAAACAGCGCAAAAAAAATTAAAACAATCGGTAACTTCTTACTTTTGTTCTGCCTCCATAAATAAACACTTGTCAAATGCATGAGCTGTGTTGCTCGTAACACTAACCAATCCAATATTGAAGCATCAAAGTGTTTTGTACCCTGCTTCTCTGCAGATTACGTTTTTGGAACATGGCAAAGACTGGATATTCCTTGTGTGTTTGAAGAACGTACTGCAGCTTCTCCAAACTGATTTACGACTTTCATCAGAAACGTGTAGGAAAACACAGGAACAGGTTGCTTCTTTGCAGTATGTAACAGCTCAAAAACTTTTTCTTTGTGCTCCCATAAACCAATTTCTCAGCTTGGTTCTTCTTCCTTTTAGCATATGATGTCCAGATGGTGGCAAGTCACTAGTCAGTTTCCTGGCTTATCATTTAAAATCTGTTCCCGTTTGGGAGAACTCATCCCTATATGAAAATTGTAACCTCTCTTTTTGATGATCAAAACATAGCCAAAACCAGAGTGGAAATCCTCCTCACAAACATATCGAATGATTTTTATGTGTAACTGAAGGCTTGATTCCAGGTCAGAGATCAATACCTGAACAAAAAAAAGACATGGTAAAAGTAGAATCTGTTATTGCCTCCGTTGCTTTTGCCTTCGAATTCCACACCTGAATCGAAKCACGAGGACGATGGAGAACTCATGAGCTCTGACGCTGGAGAATACCCAAGATTCTGAGCTTGTCTGCAAATGAATATCGTGAGGCAGATCGACGTGAACAGAACAGAGACTCTCTGGGGGTTCAACTTGAATCTGTGTAGTCATCTCAACAGTAGCACACTTCGATTCTTCCTCGTGAGTCGTGAATCATCTCATTCACCACTGATGCACCATACGCTTCTCTTTCTCTCTCGTTCATCTCTATAACGAAATGGCAAAAGAATCACCGTTGGAATCGAGCTTCTCTTCCCAAGCTTTGAGTTGTGAAGAAATCGATGTCCTGAGATGATTTGTTCATCTTGACAACAAATTTTACGAATTGACAAAATAAAATTGAAAATTCAGTCGTATCGTAGCCAAACTCCCACCTCACCGTAACTCCGCCGTATATGCTACCACCGCCGAAGCACGAGCACGATGGAGAACTCATGAGCTCTACCCAAGATTCTGAGCTTGTCTGCAAATGAATATCCGTGAGGCAGATCGACGAAGAGACTCTCCGATTCCGGAGTAATTCCCGGCTAATCCTATATCCTCTCCGGTGAAATAACGCATGAACACGACGGGAAGTGCAAGAAGAACGTCGGAGATTAAGATATTATGGATATACCCTCCTCTATAAGTACATAAACAGTATAAACGGAGTTTTTCTTAACAAAATTGGTGACGTCGGAGATTTCGCCTGACATCCGATTCTACCTCAGTGATAGTCTTCATCACCTATTGGAATCGCTCTCTATGATCGGTTGAATAGTCTGAGTCATAGTGGCTTGGCTTCTGTGAATTTGCTCGAGTACGATCGAGTCGCCGACGAGGATAATGGTGCCGTCAAAGGTTCGGTGGATAAAAAAAATTATCTAAATTTTAGAGAATAAAATAATGGTTTTCGACCAACAAAAAATATCCCAATATATTGGAGAGTGATTTGTTTATATATGTCCGCATATATCCTGATTTTTTGAACGATTTCTATAGCCCGGATATCTGGAGGTCACGATTTCGAATCCGGATAATTTTTTCACGGATCCGACGATTCCGGATCTAGATCCGGATACTCTGAAATTCCAAAATATCCGAAATCGTCATGCAGTATGATTTTGAAGTACGATTCTCTTCTTTATTATATTTTATTTTTAAAACTTCTAAAAAGTAGAAATAAGTGATTGGTGTTTGCCGACATAAAAAAAGTGATTGGTGTTTTATTTGCTGTAATAATAAAGACACTTTGAAATCCGCAGTAGTTGTGCTCCAATCACAGTAAAGTGAAATCAAGTGGGTCTTGCAGTTTTTTTTTCTTTTAATTGTGGGTTACTATACTTTTTTTACTTTTGTCCTTTTTGAATGGTAATATAATTGGT